CACGCGAAGAATTTGAATAAATTAACTTCATTTTATTTTCTTATCGGGGAATAAATGAATAAAAATTTTGTGTTCTAGAAATTTGTTTTGCTTTCAAAAACCTGTTTTCTGGATAATTTGCTTACAGATGTATAATTTATCTCTCTGATATTATTTCTTGCATTGTTATATAAATCTATTGTTGTCAATTTATGATCATATAATGTTGCTAACTTACCCGACCTGCTAACCATTTAGTAACGCTCCCGAAACTGTCCTAGAGTATTTCATTGCAAATAATTGCACTTTGTCTCTATCTCAAAATCATTTTCATGATTGTAGAGGTTATAAAGCTTTTTTATTTTTATGTTGGGTAATTGCCCTATAAAAAAATAATAAATTAAGTTAAATTTTGTTTGAAATAAATAAAATGCAGATGCGTTGTGAAACAATCTGATATAACAACAAAATTTTCTTGTTTAATTAAGTCGTCTTAACAGTAATTAATTTTAATGACTTTATTATTGGTCCAATGGAATCCTTTTGCATGGCCCTGCACTAGAAGTATGCAATATGTAAGCTTTTAGCCAAAAAGCCTGACCACTTGTGGTTTTAAAATTTATTTTACCCGCCTGCCCCCCCCTCCCTTATTTATCTATAAATATAGTTTATCGCCCCCCCCCCCTGCCGCCCTCCTAATGTTTTAAAATTATCTTAATGACTGGTTAGTCTCTTTATTTATTTAATTAAATGTATTTTTAATTAAACACTTATGGGAAACTAAGGTTAGTCAAACTGACTTTTACAAATTTTGCTTTAGCTCCTGGTTTTTTTAATAATATAAAAAATAATTTATGATTAGATATCTAAAACTATACTCTATAAAAGTGCCTAAAATTTTAAGAATATAATCATTTTTAAAAAATCCTATTTTTTGCAAAAGTGGAAATTTTGTCCAACAAGCCTCAATAGCGAAGAGATTATGATTTCCTTAGCTTAAATTATAAATAACGATCATACAGTCATGAATTAAGTTTTCAAAATTTTAAATTTTTTTTCATTATTAACTATAATTGAAGTGTATGGTTTAGCAAACCCCGTTAGCTCTAAATTGACAAATCTATTTTTTTTAAAAAAATAAAATTCGTCATGTAAAAATCTTTTGATAATTTCATAAAAATTTTATTTCTTAAATAAAATTTTTAATAATTAATTATTTCAAACGATTTTTTGTCTACAGATAAATAAAAACTATATTAGAAAATTTTAAACTGTGTATTTAATTTTAAAAATTTTAGAAAACCCGAAAACTCACATCAAATTTAAGCGTGTGGACAGACGGGCGAAAAATCCGCCCAACAGACCTCTACCCTGCATTAAATAGCATGATTTTCTTAAGGCTTAATAAAAATAAGAATTCCCCAACATATAAATTGGATTTTAATGAGTTTTAAAATAAGAATTTTTGTGAACCTATAAGAATGAGAAGATAAATTATTTAATCTTTCTAAGCAATCTACAAATTACTTGGCGGATTTTGTCAGAGTTTCAAAAAATGATATATAATCTCTGAATTCTCATCAAATTACAAAATTTTATTCAAAAAAATTAATTTATTATTGAATTATGAAATTAATTTGGACACATAATGTATAAATGAGATAGAATCATTTATTTTTTTTAAAAAAAATTTTCATTTGTACCCTTAAGTCTTTCTTTTCTTTTTTATGCTAAAATAAAAAATTCAAAATTAATTTGACAAGTGATTTCAAGAGTAAGTTTAAACAAAGAGTTAAATAAAACACATTTCCTCCCCACAGCACCTCATATTTTATAAATAACAAAGTAGGCCTTTCATTTAGACATAATTTTTTTTTAATAAAAATTATTACGTAAGTATTCATTAAATTTAAATATGATTATATTTATGTTATATTTGAACAATTTAGACATATAAAGGGTCATAACTCCTAGACCCACGTTCATCCCAGTCAAGGGCTTTGGGTTTGTACAAATATATAGCAGTCTGTTAGAAATTTATTTTTTAAAAATACCTTTTTTTCATAGCCATTTTTGGTTTTATACTTCCAGTTTTAGGTATTAATCAGGTTTCTATCACATGTATTTATATGTCATATTAAAATCACAGTATTGTGATGATTTTATGAAACATGTTGAAGATTAAATTAAAACCCGTCCAGATGAAAGTATTTTGTTTGCAAAAATTAAAAAAACACATTTGCAATTTATTATAAAAAATTAAACTTATAAAAGATTTTAAACATTCTTTTTTATCTTTATTTTTTTTTGTAAACTTAAACTTATTTATGATGAGTAATTTCAAGTGTGTAATAACATTTAATATATGTTTATTATATATAATTTTTTAGATTTTTCCTCACAGGACAGCTTTATTTGACATAATAAATAATTCTTTACTCAATCAAAAAAACGGTTCTACAATAAATTATGATACCTCTTCTCAACCACAAAAGAAATATGGCAATTGGAGTCAGGAAAAAATTGCCATCGCGAGAAAATGACTCAGTAAACCTAAACATAAACAGGCGACCATAAAAACAATGGCGCAAGACCTCAATTTATCCATTTTCTCGGTATACCGATTCAAAGGTATTACCTTCCCCGAATATTACGATGACTTCTTGATCGATTACATAATCAATCAAGAGGGAGTAACAAAAAGAATGATTCCAAATTGAAATCTAACGTAATAATGGATTGACGATAAAAAATATAGTTGAAAATTTACCCACTGATCTCAAAATGAGTGATTCGGGAATATCCAAATACATTAAATCTATGGATGGCATTGGAATTGGAAGATAACCCGATGGTCGGAATTCCCCTATTGCATAAAAATGATCAACGTGCCATTTTAAAATATATTCTATTTAGATGAAACAGGCTTCAATCCCACGTCATTCCACATGGATGAGCATCTCTGGATAAGAGTGCCTCCGTCAAATCCCCCCCCCCCTCCCTCAAAGGGGAAATGCATATCGGTTTTGTGTACCATAGGAATTAATGGTCTCAAAAAATACACGATTATAAATGGGGTAATTACTAGTGATGTTAAGGTAACTAGTTACAAGTAATTTTGGCTAAAAAATAACTGTAACTAGTTATATTTTTAAAATTGTAACTAGTAACTGTAACTAGTTATAATTTTTGAAATGTAATTGCCAAAAGTAACTAGTTACTTTTAAAGATATATTCAAATAATTAATTTTATTTTTAATATGTTTTGTGATAAATTAATTTTAAATTTATTAATTTAAAAATTTTGTGAAAATGTCTGATTGTTGTAATTTCCCGTTCAAATTTACCTTAATACCTCAAAGTGAATCCCAGACGAATGAATCATGCTCAAAACCAACATCACTTGATGTAGTTGGATTTTTTGACCTAAAGCGCCAAAATATTCTGGATAATGCACTTATAGAAAACTTTATCAAATCTAATAACAACACTTTTTCTTTATATAACGATTTTCCAAAGTTAAAATTACTCTTTATTAAATATAATATTGTTTCTAACATCAAGTGCTCTCGTAGAGCGCTTGTTCAGTCTAGGGAAGCTCATTTTTGGAGATAAACGAGTACGTCTCCTAGATAATAACTTTGAAATTAATTTGTTGTTAAAAGCAAATAAACATTTATTAGATTCTAATTTTTATGAAAAATAAATGTTTTTTTTTCAATGCAAATATATATTTTTATATTCGATGTAAATATTCAATTTTGCGATATTTTTTTATATAAATAAATTGTATATTATTTTAAATAACTGTTTATACTTTGTTTATCCTAATTTTTTTTATATTAAATAAATGCATTCAATAAATAAATAATGCGCATATGAATGATGTATAAAGTAAGTAACTAATTACTTTTAAAAATAACTGTAACTAATAACTAGTTACTTTTGTAAAAATGTAACTAGTAACTGTAACTAATTATGTTTTTGCCAATGTAACTAGTAACTGTAACTAGTTATGTTTCAAAAGTAACTTTTAACATCACTAGTAATTACAGCAAAAAAATTTAAAACATAGATATATTTTTTCGTTATATTATATGCAATACAAATAGAAAAATAATTATATTTTGATCTTATATAAATAAAATAAATTATACAATAAATAAAGATTTCACAACTCATTTTTGAAACTATAATATAAGGTAAATTTAATAGAAAATAAAATAATAATTTAAAAAATTGCCAACCGAAAAAAAAATCGTGTATTTTTTAACTCATTCAAAAAGTATTCCAGTTTATTGATAAAAATTAATTTTATAAAACCTTGGTCGTAAAAACAAATTTTAAAGAAAAAAAGAGGATTAATATCAAATGTGTTTTTTAAAATTATTTTTGCAAATAAAATACTTTTATCTGGATGGGTTTTAATTTAATCGTCAACATGCTTTATAATACCATCACAATACTGTATTAAGCTATATATAATAAAATTTAAACTCTTGAGATATTTGAAAATTAATAAAGTGCATTTTGTCAAATATGTACCATTTTTCCGCAATTTAAACCCCCATATCTTAGTGAGTAAGTAGTGTAATGAGGTAAAAATTTCATATTTTTCTTAGTTATAGCATAATCAATATACAATATTAAAAAAATTCTGAGGGGGTCGGATTGAAATTGAACATTTTTTGGTTGATTTGATATAAAATTTGCAATATATATAAATCGAAAATAATTTGAATTAAAAATTACTCAATCTTTTACCACTCCTTTCACTCAACATTAGTTTCACAACAAAAACTATTCACTTATTAAATTTATTAGATTTGAATTGGTTTACAATTATATAATATATTAAAATAAGGCGCCAACCAATAATGTAAATTTAGAAAATAGAAAATATTTACTTATCAAAATAAATTAACCAAATAATTTTGATAAAATCAGAATATATTTAAGATTTAAAATAAAATAAGCGTTGAATATTTCTAATTTTTTAAACTTATTTATTTATGATCTAGAAAGATATGGTAAATGAAAAACCTTATAAAAATCTTGAACTCATACGAGAGGCGTCGAAATTTAAAGAGGTACACTTTCTATATTTATTAATTTATCAACTAAATATTTATGAAGATATTAGAAAACCAATCTGAAGATACGGAAAAATACATTTATAAAACACTCCAAAAACATTCGTTATCTTATTTGACGTTGATTTTGGGGAAAATTTATAAAGTAAAATTATAGAATTTCTTATAATAATTTTCTATATTTTTTTTAATGTTTTTAAAAATATTCTTCTTCTTCTTCTTCTTCTTCTTCTTCTTCTTCTTCTTCTTCTTTCTTTCTTTCTTTCTTTCTTTCTTTCTTTCTTTCTTTATTACATGTTATTATAAATGCAGTTTGCCCAACGCTTAAATATTGTAGCCAATAAATCAGGTAGTAAATTAAGAAAACATGGCAATATTTATTTTACGTTTTCAATTAAATTCCTCATATTGGTAATTTAATTAAAATTAAATTTAGGGAAGTCTCCTTTTATCTCTCATATTTATCTCTAATCTGAAAGTATTTTTCCTTAGGGAAATTCATTCCTAAAGACTCAAAAAAACTTCCAACTATTATATTTAAAGGAGTGTATAACTAGCACATTTTAAGCCTAGCTCTATCATAATTATTATTAATTTAGTTATAAAATTTTAAATGATCTTCAACAAATAAAAAAAACATAAGTCACATTATAATAAAATCGTACAATTTAGTCCCAATGGGGATTCGGAATATTTCTTTTTAGAAAAAAAAATATTTATTCTAAACTATTATGCTTATACCTAGTCATAGCTCAACCAAATTAATCACGAATTTTTAATCCAATTTAACTCGTTTGTCAAAACATACCAAACTGATATGTAATTTTACGTTTGATTAAATAACTGCATGTTTATATTATACAAATATATGATCAGAAAAATGTAATTTTAACTATAATTAAGAAAAAATATGCCCTTTATTGTTTAATAATTTTATCCTTTTTGTTTATCTTTACTATTTTCTTTTTTAGAATTTTTTTTAAAAATTCTTTATCCTTTTGTTCTCTATATTCTATTTTTATATTTATCGCCTTTATTAATTTTGTCTTAGAAACAAAAAAAATTATTAATAATTCAAATAAAATCCTTGTTAGTTTTAATATTTTTTAAAATATAGTTAAAATTCGAACCTTGAACATTTATAAAATATTGGATAATACTAATTCACAGCTAATTTCAATATTATAAGGAGTGTATTTTATTTATCAGTTGACTGATAAAATTCTTATACTGCAAGCGAGGGGATAGTTTTTAAAATATTCTAATTATTTTATAATTTTTTAGGGCTAGCGATTAAAAAAAATTGACAATTTACTATTAATCGAAAATGGCATCATGTGATTCTCCTTAACTTCTTTTGCAAATAAAAAGGCTAGGAAGATAAATATACTATTTTTATTCTTAATAATTTATAATTAGTTATTGATTACACGGCACTTGCACTATATTTATTTTTTATGCGTTACTCATATTTATGATTAAAATTCAAAAAATTTTGCAATATAATATTTTTATTTTTTATCAGAATGCGAAAAAACAATTAAAATTCTTGTAATTTAAAACGAAAATTATTTGCCGAATTAGTTTGGCATATTTGAACAAGTGAATTAAATTGGATAAAAATTCATAATTAATTTGAGCGGTACTAGGTATAAATATAATAGTTTAGAATAAATATATTTAAAAATATATCTCGAATCTCCATAATAGTAATTCAAACAATATGAGGTTCGAAATTTTTTTTAGAAAAAAAAAAAAATAATGGGGATAAAAATGTTATCTGTAAAATTATATGAATTTTGAAATCGTCTACTTGTATAATTTCTATATAAATATATTTTATCGTATTAAAATTACTTATCAAATTAATATGTTTGGACAAATGAATTAATTTGGATAACAATTTTGTAACTTGTTTTGAGTTAGGACTAGTTAAGATTAAACATTTTATATTATTAATAAAAATATTCCTAATTTCCATAGGTGATAATTCGGGATAAATAAAATTTATTTTTAAAAATTATTTTGTTTCCCATCACCATCAATATATAAAAAATATAAAATATAAAAAGGGTAAGAAAAAATGTTTAAAGAAATGGTTAAAAAATGCCTAATAAAAAAAATTTGATACAAAAAAATTGAGGGGAGGCTTTAAGTAATAAGCAAATAGGTAAATCCTTATATCTAGAATTCCAATAAAATTTCTAGTTCATATAATATTAGATTTTTGAAATATTTTTTAAAATAATATATATTTGGAATCCATATTAAATTACAGTCTAATCTATATCGATATATAAAATTATGTTTTCTAAATATTAATTAAATGCAAGAAATTAAATGGTTAACAATTTATTAATCTCTCAATAAGTAAAAACGTAAATATATACAATCATAATAAATATTTTATCGATTCCTCCAATATATTTTAGATATGTGTGGTGAATTAATTTGTACTACCTTTTTGTTCTTTATCCATGATAAGGCCTATATTAGACAAAATCAGTGGAAAAACTCATAATGTAGGTCAGTGGCCGGCGAAAGTTCTAAAAATCTAATAGATAAGAAATAAAAAGTGAATTAAATAAATTTAAAAAATTGATAAAATATTACTTGCAGATATCGTAACGCAAGTTTTGTTAACATTTCCTTAAGTAAAATAACTTTCGAATTATCAATTTTATTTCTTTCACATAGCTTTAATAAATCAATTTATTTAATATAATAAAAATATTTGATCATCCTTTATTGCTAGGTATATATTTTCACTTTTATATGTGCTGAATTTGTACAAAATTTAATGCTGAATTTACATTTAGTTTTCTTTTGAGGTCAATAAGGTCCATGTTGTATTTTCTTTATTTTTATCTGTAAATCAAAGTTCTACAAAATATATTCATATAAGCATATCTTTTTTATTTAAAAAAATATTATCCTTAATTATCCACAAAAATGAAAATAAAAATGTTCTTAACAAAAAATATTAATTGTGGCCGGGCTGTATTTTTTTTAAAAATTTATACAACATGAATTATTATATTCGTCGATTAGATATGGTTATAATGATTATATATAGTTATGATTAATATAATGTTTGTGAAAGTTAACACTTGCTAACACTCATAGTATCTATTACATAAAATTTTAGTTTTCCTGCCATGGAATAAATATGCAAAGGATTAAATACATTATTATATAATATATGTTATATTTTTTATTAATTAAAATATCAGTTTTATTTTTTTTATAAATACCAGAGTTGTTAAAGTATCTAGATACAAGTATCTAGATACAAGTATCTAGATACTGTATCTAGATATAAAAATGTAGTATCTGTATCTGTACCAAGATAGATTTTTTAGAAATGTATCTGTATCTGTATCTAGATATTTTTTTAGAGGTATCTGTATCTGTTTTTAGATACTTTTTAAGATACATTTTATATACCCCTTTTTTTATTATAAATAAAAATATTTGACTGTAAAATTTATTTTATTTCATATGAGCTTATGAAATAAATAAATAATATATATATATTATATATTAATATTTATTAATACTATAATAAAGAATTATATATACATAAAATATTAAAACTTATATATAAAAAATATATATAAATATTCATTAATTTAAATATTATGTCCGAGTTTATCAATAAACCATACAAATTTTAATATTACAATATGGAAATGGTAAATTTTATTTTATAACTAAATTTTTAAGTTTATATATTTGTTTAGATCTATTTCGATGAAGAAGAGGAAGCAACAAGTTCTATTGCTTTACCATGGCCAAATTGAGCATATTTTAAAATAATATCTCAAAACAAAGAAAACAATTAATTCTCTGATGGTAAAAGGTTTGCCGTGTCTACCTAAAAATACAAAAATATCCGTCAGTATGACTTCAACGTGCAATATCGTGAAGCACATAAGGGTATAGATATTATATATTTAAAATTCTAATTAAAATTTTAAGAGAAAATATCCAACCTTGTTAACAAAAATAAAATACTAAAGAAAATATTGGCAAGGCTCATCCTCCAATAATATTTTTGCTAAAAGACCTTTGACTTTAACTCAAGGCACTTTAGATGATTTAATTATTGCTTTTATTATAGATGGCATGCAGCCATTATAAAAGAAAACAATTGATACAAAGATTAGCTGGTGAATTATCAAAGTCATCAACTGACTGCAAGCAAATAACCTGCCAAAAAAAACAAATAATTTAATTTCAGATTTTTTTCAGTACCCTACAGCAGATATAATTTCTAATAATGATTTAAATTTTGATAATCAACAAATTTTAAATAACTTTTTCAAAAATAAATGTAGAGATTTTAGCATTTTTAAAGAACTGATATAAAATTGTTATTTATTAAATATAACACTACAATTCCTTCAAGCGCCCCTGTGGAAAGACTATTTAGTGTTGCTAAAAATGTCTTCACAGATAAACGAGGATGCCTAAATGATCAAAATTTTGAAAATATTTTATTACTGAAATCTAATAATTATTTAATCATATATTTTCATATATTATATTAAAATTATAATTTTAGTTATATTCTGATAAATGTTATATCGCGTCAATAAATTTTTAGTTCATTTCATGAATTTTCACAATATAATATTAATTTAGGTTTATGCAAACCTATAAGAGCATAAAAAATGTATCTGTTGATAACTTTTTAGACGCTGTATCTGTATCTGTATCTAGATAACTTTTGAGACTATGTATCTGTATCTGTATCTAGATCCATTTAAAAAGTATCTTTTAACAACTCTGATAAATACAATTAATATAGTATATCTCAAAATATTATTTAAACAAATTTTTTATAGTATCAATTTGTAATATACTAAATATCTATTTAGAATAAAAAAAATAAAATATGTTATATATAATGTTAATAAACGGCTCGTTTTGAGCCGATTTTTAAAAACGGTTAACTCAGTTTTTTATCCAGAAAAATATTATGCAAGCCTGAAAATTTTGCTCATAGAAGAAGCAAAGTACTAAACATATAGTATCGAAATTTCGAGGCTTAGTCAATATTTTTCCGGCGAAAATATTAACTTAGCTATTTTTAAAAATTGGCTCAAAAGAAGCCGTTTAACAACATTCTAATATGCTTGC